CATTGACTGATCCTCCAGGCGAGCCACTGGGAGAACCAGACTCTGATTTGGGGACCAAGCCACACTATCGCTTCACCAGACAGCCTGTGAAGTATTATCGGCATCACAACCCAGGAAATCATCTCTCAGGTCCAGGTCATTCAGCTATAGAGCCCGCAGCTCCCGTGAGGGGCCACCCAGGGAGTGCTGACAGCAGCCGCAGCTCCTCTCCAGAACCAGGGACACAGACACTTCCCCAAAACTTAGATTGCCACTGTAAGAACACTTGCCAGCCTCACCAGTCCACCACTGCCACTGAGAGTAAAGCAGGTGTCCCACTAAACCCCCGTGAGATTGTGCAGTACATGTTGGGACTGGACTCAACAGTCACTGCACCTGAAGCTGGGACAGCATCTGGTACAACACCAAATTCCTCTCGGGAGGAGGCAGCTGGGTGTCAAGCTGACATAAATCTGACCAATAACAGACAGAGTGCTGGACAGAGCTGGGCTCTGAGTCAGTCAAAGACACTTCCTGTTGAACACAAACTGCCCTCTCCAACCCAGAAGGTCCTGTCTGGTCTGAAGCTGAGACGCAGCCACTCAGGGAAGGATGAGCAGCTCTTTGTCTGAGGAAATACAGAAATGTTTACTGGAATACATTCACACACACACTGGAGATCCTTAAAATCATGGTTATTGTATGTAATAATTGCTCATTCATCAGCATTTATGCAGTTGTTAAGAATAAAATGTGTCCATATTTTACACACAAATATCTAAACCTCTAGCACAAAACAAAAACTATGCTGATGACAGTTCAGTTACCAAAAGGTTCAGTGTTTCAAACTCACAGCTGAGCTTCGCTTTAAGGAAACACAGATGGAAGGTTGAAGCATGCTGTTTGCTAAAGCCTTATTACCACTAATACTCTTTAAGATTTTGATCTGTTGACCAGCCTGATGCCTATGAGGACAGGAGGAGTACATGTATTAATCTGTTTTAATATTTCTTATGCATTTGAGTGTAGTAAGCAGTTGGTGAGAGACTGTAGGTTAAAAGATGGAGCACATTGGTATAAAGTGCTTCCAGGTTTTGTCCCAGACAAACTATACTGAATATGAGGTAGGTAGGTAGAACTATTATTGATCCGACAGTGGGGAAATTCCATATGAGCTAAATATAAATGCTATCAAGTGTTGTATTATTAAGATAATTTTATCTTGTGGTTGTGCTTTTTTATGTTTTATAGGCTCCAGATGGAAAATTCTGTAGTGCCAGACAAAGATATGCCCTTATTGGTGTCAGTTATTTCAATAGATACGTTTTTCTTTTTTTTGTTTCCTGCAACGTTCCTGTTTTAACACAAGGTGGCGGTCTTCTCTCAGTGTGAGGGGAAGACATGCCAGACACGACACTAGAGGGCAATAAACCATTTATTTCTAATTAGAAGCACAGTGTTATAGCGTTGCTTTTCAAACCACACCAGCCTTTTTCTATCAGCCTTTTAATGGCCGGATTTCTTTCGGCGTAACGATGGCATAAAGTGAACCAACGTTTTCTGATGTTTGGATGGAATTACGGTTCAGTATAACTGTGATCATCTTATTTTGCCTTTGTTCTTTTGATAATTTCGCCAGAGTCAAGCAGTTTAAGTATGTAAAAAGTATTAGGGCCATAGGAGATAGTTTTCCATGTGGAGGAGAATCCCTGGCTCATCGCAAGTCTTTTCTCATATCAGCCGCGTCCTTTAAAGTCTCCGTCTAACCTTGAACACAAATGCAAAAGACCATCTCCATCTGAGTTATCAATAGGCTGCATCGCCTCTCATCTTCCTTTATCATCTTCCGCACCTTCTCCCTCCCTCCCTGTCCGTCCATCTCCTCCCTCTGCGCCTTTTCACGCACAAAAGAAGTCAGAGCGCACACACGGCTGTAGGAGAAAGCTGGAGAGACAATAGACAATAGTTTGGGTCATCATGGTATTTGGATTTTTACCGTAAGCAACATGCGCTCCGGGCTGTGAGGTGCAGGTGAACAAGCTGTGAACGCGTCTCTTCATTCAGCGACCGAAAGTTTACCCACGATTTAATGTTGCCAA